CCCGTGGCTCAAGGGTTAGAGCGTTCGCCTCTGGCCGGAGAGACGCGAGTTCCGCTGCTACACTGGAGTTGACCTACCACCACCTGATGGCGCCCAAAAAGGCAGAAAGGCTTCGTGAGTGTGGTCTATGTTTGTCGGGAAAATATCAGTTTCAATGTCCCCGGACCTGAACCGGCGAGACAACGAGCTCGTGGCTCAGTGGTTAGGGCGCGGGTCGCGGGTCCGGGCCTCGCATGGTGTACTACCTGGGGTTGGTTATGGCCGGCTAATTACGGCTGATTGGCCATTTCATTCACACTTTTCGTTGCCGGCAGTGTTTTCCGTCTAAATGCATCCCCACTGACACCTTAGCAAATGCGTCATAAAATTTGCGTGGTCATATTCAGACTTCAGATTTGTAGGACAACCGCTAAATTACAGTGTACTATTGGTTTAGGGTCGGCTTAAAAACTTGCATTACTAAAATCTTGTTATTCCTAGACAAGAGTTCTGTATTAATTCCGATCCAATAAAATTGTCATGTACTCCTGTGATTTTAGTGTGTTCACATTAAAATATTCGCCCCTGACTGAGAACTTCTATACCGCATACATGCATTTCTTGTGTGCGAATAAGTCGTTAGTGTATCGACTTCGTTTTTTTCTCCACTTTTGAATGCCCACCTAAAGTTGGGCTTCCCTGGTGTTATCTTTCTTAATAGAATCTTTTGCAATTTTGGTTTTTTTAATGCAAATAGTTGGTTTGTTTGGTACTGACGAATGTGCTCTGGCTAAAGGTTATTCTCTCCAGATTTAAGATTATTCTTTGAGTTTTTGAGAAAATAAAATCACAACAAAATGAAAACAGTGGAAACGTTTTTTTTTTGCAGTCCCCGCAAGTTCCAATTCAATAAACAACGAATTCGAACGATATAAGAACGTAGCATCTGACCAAATATGAGTTCGAATACAGGAAGGCTAGCATTATTAATGGCAAAAAGGTTTAGACGCAAGAAATAAAAAGCTTTCTGAATAATTAACGTGAAAAATACGCATCGTTTTAGCAGCACCAAGGAACCAGTTCAAAGCGGGTCCCAACACTTTTAAATCAGTTTAGATTTATTTTATGCTCATTTGCTTTGCACACATTTACTGAGGAAGCGTCGGCTCATTCAGTAGTTGTATTTGTACTCGAAATTTCCATTAATCTAAACTTGAGCCAGTGTTCCTTAAAAGAGAAAGTCAGCTTATTTTCGCATCGGGTTTTTGCCCCCTAAGGTATTAATTTAAAAAATTTTGAACGGTACTGAAAGAAAGTTTTTAAATTGCGGTTGGAGTCTTAAGCTCGTCCTCTGAAGTCGTCTTAGTCATCCTGCCATAAGCCCTGTTAGTTTATTTAAGTGAATCTGTGGCCCATTTTAGCCAAAATACGAAAGGTGCAGTTGAATTGCATGAAAGCGAGCCAAATGCTTCCGCTAACCACCAATTTATGTCACGTGAAATCGCAATCACATGACGTTAACAAAATTCTGCCTGTTTCCTGTGGCCTAGAAGATCCTTACTTTCTGGCGGTTGTTGTTTATTTTAACATATATTTAC